AATACAAATTTTAAACAAAAATGACCGGTTCTTCCCCATAGAGCTCAATGTTGTCTTTGCACTGATATCAAAGTTGAAGCGAAACATGCTCGCTCCTCGTCTAAAAATTGAATTTCCTTCGAAGAGTGAACGATTAATTAAACACTAAACAATCACTTATTTTAAAAAATATTGTGTCTTCCCCAGAGATTTAGACATAATCTATCAATTGAAATGTCGATCTTTTTTTCAAAGTTAAAATTACGCCCGTGCAATGAACTTCTATTTAGCTCATTTTTCGGTCTGTTACTCGGCACCCTTAAGTTTAATGACTTACCTAAAAAAGAAAATAACTGAAACTTTACTACCGTGTCTATTAAATTTAGGCAACCCATTCTGCATTAATTTTAAAATATGAAATCATCCCTCAAGTCGAGAGAGGTGTTGCGCATTACTACGGTCAAGTAATCTCGAAGTATAATTTGCAAGTATGTACCTAATTTGTACACAAAATTTTGGTGTACTTTCTTTATCTTCAACCACTGTAGTTGAAAGAGTCGTACGAGAGTGTTAGTGTTAAAAAAATTGGTTGAAAGTTGTTTCGACTGAACTTCCCTAGCCCCTAAATTATTGCCGAACAAAGTTCGAAAAATTATTATCAACTTTAACTTTGCGAATTCTTTTTTTTTTTTTTTCATTGTATCTAGATCTTTATAGTCAGTTTTTCCGGATAATTTTTTTTTGATAACGTCATTAACATTTTAGCAAGGGCATATATATCAAGTTAGTATTGATAGACTCCTTAAAGTTTTGACACCCTTGAAATCCTCGAAATCTTTGAAATTTAGAGAAGACTTTGAACTTTCACAGTATTTGGAATATTCTCACAAATTCGGTAAAATGTTTAGAATTTCTAGAATTGAGTACATTTTTGAATGTTTCAAAAGTTCCACATTTTCTAAATGTTATAAAAACATCAGTCTTCGGATATGCCAAAATTCAACATTTTCCTCAGTTTTCAAGATTTCTAGGTCTTCCACATTTTTCACAAAGTTAATAGATCCCAAGAGTCTTTAAATCTTTGAAATTTTTGGAATCTCCGGAATCTTTACAATCTCTGAGATGTATAAGATGATAATTAGGGTGTTCAAGACCTCTAATAGTTATAGGATTTATAAAAAATAAAGGAAGCATTCTTCAGATTTTTACAATTTTTAGATTTTTAGGATTTTTGTTTTGTTTAGAGTCTTTGGAATCTTTAAAATTGTTGTGATGTTAAAAGTTCATGCGTTTTTTACAAATTATAGAATCTTTGAAATATGTACTTGGAACAGAATTTTAAAGATCTTTTTAATGTTTGAGCCCTTAGAGTATTTAGAATCTTCGAGTTCTTCGGGAACATTAATAATTCCAAGATTTTCACAATTTTTAAGATTTTGTTGGATGTTTCTTCTACTTAGAACCTAAAACATTAGTTTATTTAACATCTTTGGTGTCTTTACAATTCGCAAATTCTAGTGTGTATGAAAACTTTTAGAATGTGTTGAGTCTTTAGAAATTTTGAAAGGTTTGAAACCTTTTAAATATTATAAACATTTGGAAACTTTGGAATTTTTAGAATGTCTACAATCTTAAGATTTTGTAAACTTTTAAAATTTTGAGATTTAATATTTTTTTATTTTCTTTTATTTTTTGGGAATCTTGGTAATTTGCAAAATTTTCAAAATTTCTAGAATGTTAAGATTTTCCAGATTAACCCAATTTTTCAGATTTTCCAAATTACATAAAATGACCTAAATTTCCATATTTTCCAAAATGTCTAAAATTATCAGTTACACCAGAATTCTAGGTCTGCCACATTTTTCCCCACTCTTTCTAAGTTTTTTAAGATTTTCTAAAATTAATAGATCTCAAGAGTCCAAATCTTTTAAATTTTTGGAATCGCTGGAATCTTTACAGTTTGCAAGATTTATAAGATAATAATTAGGGTGTTCAAGGCCTTCAGTGGTTCTAGGATTTATAAAAATTACAGAAAATATTTTTCCGATCTTTACGATTTTTCGGTCTCTCAGGTTTTTGTTTTTTAGTCATTTGAATTTTTTAAATCTTTGACATTTTAAGAGTTCACAAGTTTTAGAAACTTTGGCTTTGGGAATTTCTCTAGAACCTTTAGAATCTTCGTAGTATTCGAAACAGAATTTTAGCTTTTGACCCCTTAGGGTCGTTAGAGTCTTTAGACCCCTCAGAGCCTTTAAAATCTTTTTTGTTTTATTGACAAATTTGATACCATCAGGTTTAAATAGCAGCATTATTATTTTTATCAAATTCAAGGACCAAAATTTTCGTTATTTATACTAACGTAGATCTTTACTGGGAAATCATCAGAAAATACGATAATTTTTGGGAAAATCATATGAGCCTAAAATTAGAAAAAAATTTATTTATCATCATCACTACTTGAACTTCTAGATTCGAGGAAACACAAAAAAAGGCCTTTACGCATGGTTAAATGTGCTGACATGTAATAATTTATATGTATTGTTATTCTTTTAAATTGTGCATAATTCATTTTTAATAAAAATCTAAAAACTTTTCTGCACTTAAGTATTATTATTCGTAAAATATTGAACAATAGTCCGAAATTTGTGATGACACCGGACAATATTTTAGAGATTTGTCAAAATACGAATTACAGATTCCGATAAATTAAATCTCAAATCGTACTTACCCCGTTTTCGAGCCTTTGTGAAAAAATATCCACTTTCCTTCGTGTTCACAGCAGTAACGCAAAACATTTTCACTAATATTTATTAACAGTAAATTAAAAATTCGTGTACACGTGATATTGTTACGCCGAAACGGAGCTCCGGATGCTGCTGCCATCAGAGCGAAATCAAAACTGAACGCAAAGGGCCGAAAAATGTGATCTTTGCTTAGGTAGCTCACGTGACAGTGACATCATCGTAAGTCACGATGAGATTGCAAAAGTTATTTTTCATATTTTGGCCGGAAAATTATCGGGGGTTAATTCAACAATGTTTAAACAATTTGAATTGTTTTTAATAACTTCATGTTTGTAGGAAAACGGGTTTCGGTTTAACATAGTCAAACAGTAATGATATTAATTAGGTTTAAATATCATTTAGTCTTGCAAAATTTTCCAAAAATTTCGAGATTTGTCAAAATACGAATCACGGACTCGGATAAATTAAAACTCAAATCGTACTTACCACATTTTCGAACCTTTTATGAAAAATATCTACTTTTCTTCGTGTTCGCAACACTAACGCAAAACATTTTCACTAATATTTATTAACAGTGAATTAAAAAATCGCGAACACGTACTATTAAGCCGAAACGGAGGTCCCAATGCTCGGATGTTCCTGCCACCAGACCGAAATCAAAACGATTAGCGTAAGACATCCTGATCGAGGTCTATGTTACTGTTATGACGTTATTCCAATTTCTCGAAATGATGAGAATTCGCCCCTCTTTATTTAATAATGTAAAACCTTGTCGGGGGGCTCAAATGTTCTTTTTTAAAAAAGTAAAACTTTCTTTTTTTACTTCCCGAACATAAGGGAGTGTCACTATCTAAAAGATCCTTTTCAAAACTGTCAGTTGTTCTTTTAATGGTTTTTCGTTTAATGGTTGTAGATCATTGCATTTTAATGAGATTTTAGTAGCTAATAAAAACTCCCTAAAATTTATTGCGTTTAAATTGTCCTATAATTATGATTAGACTGGATAAAATAATTCAAGTTGAGTTGCCGATGTTGAGGAAGACGAACTGCTCGAAGGGTTTCATCTCTTCTTCTTGGATACGGCCTGGGTGTAGTCGGAGACGAATGAAAATCGAGCATAGAAAACCATATAGTGGGAGATATTCTATGGAATCGAGGAATAATTTACTTTGATATTTCGATTTTCAAAGTATAATAACATTTTAGTCAATTGGAAAAAGGGCGACCTGCGATGATGTCGATGATGTCATCACAATTTTTTTTTATCAAATTCAGAACGAGTCACCCTATTTTCTCGAAAATGCTTGAATACCTACGTTTTTATTTAATAGTGATAAAATAAGAATTATTATAATGTTTAGAACTTTTTGTTCGATTGTGGTTTAATTAATAATAATTTTAGTCCTGTTTTGAGGTGACAAACTCATTTAAATCAAACTAACTTCTACGTGACATTCTTTCGATGTATATGTTTGTACTAAACACATGAATTTAAGCTTGTTATTAGTGCTGAAAGGACATTTTTCTCGTTGGTTGTGTGCTTTAAACATATTTTACATTGTCCGTGTTGTGTGCAAAGGTAAAACAATTTTTTTGATATTTTTTAAATCAAATCTATGAGACAACGCGTTAATTTTTTGTAACGTCGTAAATCTGAGTAAATTTTAGTATGACGGACTTAAGTGACTCACAAATTAATTGGCGAGACGTGATATGTTCATCATTCATTTGGAACGTATACTACGTTTTCATTCTAAAAATATCAATAAACTTGGCCCACACTTTGGTATCTTCGTGACTGAGATTTCCTTCTATGTAAATTCTGAATTCTTGATCATAAAAGGAAAGAACTTTATGAATTTTTCTAGCTTTCATTTGAAACTATCGTTTGCACATTTGAAATGACTTCGTTAGAACAGCAACCGTAAAATATTCAAAACTTGTTGCAATCTAGATTATAGATTTGGATGGTGTAAAAGTAACATGAAGGAAATTTGTAGTAAATGCCAGGGTGTAATTAAGATTTAAATTTATGGATATATTTATTTTATTGTTGCCAATGTTACAGATACTGCAAAACTATATCTATTTAGTGTTATAAAATTTAATTAAAAAAATAATTTTTTATCGTGATTTGCAAACTGCCTATAATTACTACATCCTGTTTGAGCAATATCTACCCATACAAATAACAAAAATATAAAAAATGGGCATACAATTAGATACCGATTCACGGTTTATAAATAACTTGTGAGGAACGTTATGTTACTGTAACGTTAAAATCCTGCTCCGAGCAATTTTAAATCAGTCTAGTTCATCAGGCGACGAGACGCCGATCTGTATTCCTGATAACCGTAAATTCGAAATTACTTGCCAAAATGGTATACGAATCCGACTTCTACACGACCAGAAGACCATATCGTTCTAGTCCAGCGTATTCGACATACACTACATCGGTAAGTCATTTAGATTTTCTGAATGATAATACGTATTTTTGCATTATACGACTTCCAAAAAAACATCCTTACTAACTAACAAAAGCTTATGAATGTCTTTTTCATTGAACGCAACCATCTTCAAAAACAGAAAGAATACGAAGATAAAGCATTTATTTTTAACTAATATCTTTATAAATAATTTTAATACCGAAGTCTGTAAAAGTGTAAACATTTATAACTCGGTTTTGCGCACGGTGAATTCAATTTGGATTACGTTTCAGCACTCCTTCGGTTCTCACCAAATTTAGCCCGCGCGTCAGCTCCGCAAACTTGATTCATTTTGTTGCATCACAGTGACATAGCAATGCCTTTAGAAATGAAACATTTGTTTATCTTTAGACTTTTAACAACGGTGTAGCATTAATGGTTCCATATTCCATACTTCCAGAAACGCGAGATTCCGTGGGAGAAAGTACCTTTTGTCCCAAGACCGAGCCTGGTGCCAGATCCGATTACAGCCTTTGGCAAAAAGAAATCCTCTGGAGAAGCACTTAAGCCCGCGCGTAAAAACATTTTGTCGCCATCGGAAAAGGCTAAAATCAAACCTAAACAACTTATTGATCCACCTAAGCCGTATTTGTCGGCACGCGATATCAACAGGGAGAAAATTATGGTGACATTACAACAACAAATTACCAATCCGGCTGAATCGATCGATGTGATTTTACCTCGGCTTCACAAAGTGGCTGAAAATTCGAATTTACCGTACAAACGTAGAATTATTTCTAGTAGCGAAATGAGATACTGATGAGCGAAACGGGCAACGAAGACATTTAAAAGCTTTTGTAGCTTTCCCTGCATTTAATTCTAACGCATAGTATTTCCATTATGATGGCATTTTTTTGCTAACAAGTTTAAGCTTTTGCTAGAATTTTTTGTATGATGATGAAGCATATTTTTATTTTTTATACCTAGTATTAGATTACAGTGATATGAAATAGTTACAAAACAGTCCACTATTAATAACTACTCTTATTATTCTCCTCTGTTATGTGTATTTGTTATTAGAGAATACGTATGTTAGTCAATGCATGGATTTATAGTTAACATTATAGTTATATTTTTTCATTAGTATCATCATTACGACGCGCGCTTCAAAACATGGACGCCCATATAACATTTTCTGACCACAATGCAACGCTAGTCGTGAATTGCTTTCATTGATTTTTGAAATATGGGCGACTATATTTTCGCTGAATTAATTATAATAAATGTTGTTCGTGTTTGATGAAACTAGTATATGTTTTCGTCGATTTTTCAATTGCTATTTCATATAATTAGTTATCTGTTAACTCAGAAGTGAAAACTCCGAAATCAATAAAAAGTAATTAAACTAATATTGCCTTTTAAATATATCCAAAACGGCTTGATTCCTTAAATGATCACTAGTTTAAGTTTTTAGATAATCATTACTTTAAAAGTTTACAACTCCGGGAAAAATAATTTGTCCACTGATGTTTTCTTAGCTTCCAATCAACAATGCCAATGAAAATAATAAGTCTCCCGTTTCCGTCTATCTGTCTGTCCGAATTTTTATTAGACACATAATATAAAGCAAATTTTTTTCGTGAAGTTTTTTTTTAAGGGTACTTTTACAAAAAATCTCAAAGTCAACGGTTCGTAAACAGTTTTGATTAATTTTTATTCTTAACCCTGCTCCTGAAGATGTCACTTACGCAAGTGTGCGAAGCGTTGAGCCCAAAAACTCAATTAATACGGTTCCAACCCGGAAAACGATCATGTATTGATTCCGACCGTGAAGCCTCCGAAATTATTTTGAACATTTGTTATTGTTGTTGTTTTCGTTGTAATCTGATCCATTAATAAATTGAGTATTAATTTTTTCAATTTTGTCATTAGTTGGCATGGACATTTTTGTCATTTTTTTCTGTAATTGCTATGATAGCTTATTAAAAAAAATAAATTGGATGAAATCGTCTCTGGAGTGTATAATATGTTGCCTATGCAAATATAGCAAACTTGTGCATCATAGTTTTTAATAAATTTGGTACTTATTTTATTGTTGGGTATATCTTGCTGAAAATAAAACACCATTGTAAATATTATTATTATAAACAGTTGAAGTTAGGCATTTCTTTTGTTTAATTATTTAATTAACCAACGTTTGTTTAGCGGGAAATCAGAAATCGGAAAATCGAGAAATCAAAATATTGAAAAGTCTGAAAACCGAGAAAGCAAAAACTGAAGAATTGGGAATTCGAAAAATTGAAAATTTTAATAAATCCAAAAAAATGGGAAATCGAAAAATCGAAAAATCAAAAAATCGGTGAGTCGAAAAATCAAGAAATCGAATTAACCAAAATTGAGAAATCGAAACATTAAAAAATCGATGAATCGAAAATTGAAAAATCGAAAAACAGAAAAATCAAGAAATCTAAAAATTGAAAAACCGAAAAACCGATTTTTCGACTTCTCGAATTTTTCATTTTATAATTTTGAAAACAATGACAATTTAAAAATTGAATAATTGAAAATTCGAAAGTTGTGAAATCAGAAATCGGAAAATCGAAATATCCAAAAAAGATACATCGAAAAATTGAAAAATCTCAAAAGTCGTAAAATGTAAAAATCGAAAAACTGAAAAACGAAAACTCAAAAAATCGAAGGGCCGAAAATTCAAGCAATTGAAAAATCGAGAAGTCGAACAGTCGAAAAATTGGAAAATGAAAAAATCGAAAATTCGAGAAATTGAAAAATCTAAAAATTGGAAATTTGAAAAATCCAGCAATCAAAATATTGACGTTTTTTTAGACTGTTCGATTTTTCAATTTTTCAACCTTTCCACTCTTTGACTTCCTGATTTACAAACTTTTGGACTTTTCGATTTTCGATTTTTTGGCTTTTTAAACTGCGTCCTTTATTTTTCAATATTTTAGATTTAACGATTTTTCGACTTTTCAAATTCACAATTTTGAAAAAATTATAATTTAAAAATTGAAAATTGAAAAAATAAATTGCATCTAAAAAAAAAACGAAAAACCAATTTTTCGACTTTTCGATTTTTGGATTTTACAATTTTGAAAAAGATGATAGTTTTAAACTGAAAAATTGGAAAGTCGGAAAATTGAAAAATCGAAATATCGAAAAATCTAGAAATCGAAAAACCGAAAAACTGAAAAACGAAAACTCAAAATATCGAAGAGTCGAAATTTCAAGAAATCGAAAATTCGAGAAACTGAAAAATCTAAAAAATGAAAAAACTCAGAAATGGGGAAATTCAAAAAGCAATAAGTCGAAAAATCGAGAAATCGAAAAGTCGACGAATCGAAAAAAATGAAAAACCCAAAATTTGAAAAACCGAAAAAGTCAAAAATTTTGAAATCCAATCAAAAAATCCTGAGACCAAAATATGGAAAAGTCGAAAAACCGAAATATCGGGAAATCGTAAAGATGAAAAGTTGAGAAATCCAAACATTGACAAATTCAAAAACCTGAAAAATCGAAAAACCGAGAAACTAAATTATTGAGAAGTTGAAAAATGATAACATTGAAAAATTGACAATCGAAAAAGTCTAAACTCTGAAAGTTGAAAAAAACGAAAAATTTGAATAAACCAAAAAAGTTGGAAATCGAAAAATCGAAAAACTGAATAGCGAGAAATCGGGAAATCTAAAAATCGAGAAATCGAAAAATTGACAAAACCGAGAAAGCAAAAATTGAAGAATTGAAAAATTGGGAATTGGAGAAATTGAACATTTGAATAAATCCAAAAAATAGGTTAATCGAAAGATAGGGATATCGAAAACTCTAAAAGTTGTGAAATTGAAAAATTGAAAAATCCAAAATTTGAAAAGTCGAAAAACGGGGAAATCGAAAAATCAAAAAATTTAAAAATGCAAAAATTGAAAAAAACGAAAATTTGTATAAGGAAAAATTGGGAAATGAAAGAATCGAAAAACCGTAGAATCGAGATATCGGAAAATCTGGACGTCTGAATGATTGAGAAATCGTTAAGTCGAAAAGGTGAGAAATCAAAAAATTAAAAAATCCATAACGAGAAAAATCGAAAAAACCGGAAATTAAAAATCGATAAATAGTCGAAAAATCGAGACATCGAAAAGTCGAAAAGTTGAGAAATCCATAAATTGGAAGATACAAAACTTGAAAAATCAAAAAATCTGGAAATCGAAAAGTTTCACCCCATTTTTAGGGGTATTTTTTAAAAAGTTGTGGATTTCTAAAGATTTTGACTATGATTCCAGCGGATCCATATAGAAACTGCTGACTTTGATATTTTTACAACAAAATAAAAAACCTCTTCAACATCAAAAAATTATAAAGCACCTTATAATAAAATAATTTTATAGGATTGCATACTCGTGCATGTGTGATTCATGAATCCGTGTTGACTTTTTACCTTTAGAGTCAAGATTTTTCTAAAAAAAAATCAGCATTGTATAACAACATTTTATAATTTAACTTTGAAATTACAAAAACCGAAAACTGTGAAATCCTGAGGATATTTTAAGAGTGTTTTGTGTCCCTTCCTCTGCATTGAGGACACAAAATAAACCAAATTTCATTTTCTTTTAACCGCCAATGCTTGTAATCTGAACGTACTAAAAATCGAATTCGGTCGAAGTATAAACATAAACAGTCGAAGTTAAACATATACTGAGAAATTGAGACGAATTTTCCCGTTAGTTTAAACATCGGGTGTCTGGAAAATGGCGGATTAACTCTTCAATACGTCAATAATAAAAAAAAAAAATTATAAAAGTAAAATTGGCAACACTGCACGTTCCTAATGCGGCTTACTTTCTGATTTCTTAGTAACGATGGTGACTGAAATCCACCTTTTTTTTAGGATAATAACCATAACAACGAGTAGTCGTTAACGGTTGTGCATTGTTCTTAAAATAAGCTGTTTTTTCCATTAATAAATAAACCAAAAAAAAATCATTTAAACAGTATAAATTATAAACAAAAACAAAATC